TTGCCGAAGATGGATGTCCTAAACGATCGTGCCACCTTGATGAAGATATCTTGGTGGCGCCAAGTGCATGTCTGCCCGAGCTTATTGGAGCTGATGATAGGGGATAGAGCCCGTTTCTACACCTCCCGTGGAGGAGGGTTTTCCTCGTGGCCTTGTCCTCGACAAAGAAAAAATGAGGATGAGTTTCAAGAAACACATGGTTGTCATTGGCTAGACGATGAGCAGAGATCAAGTTTTTAGTGGCTTTGGGCACATGCAGAATATTTTTGATATGAAGATCACGAGTAGGGGTACGAACATATGCATGACCTATATGGGAAATCTTCATACCTGCACCGTTTGGCACGTTCACTTGATCATGTCCATTGTACTTGTCACGAACGGTGAGCTTGTCGAGCTCGCTGGTAATGTGGTCTGTTGCACCTGAGTCCACATACCAGTTTGTGTCCACCCCGTAGGAGGAGTTGGTGCTGACGGCTGCTGCAGTTTTCTCCTTGTTGAAGGAGACATGAAAGCGACGATAGCACTCCATGGCCGTGTGATTCGGCTTGGTGCAGATTTGGCAGAAGACCTCGGGAAGATCATTGCGGCCTCCTCCATTGCCGCGGCCGCCGCCACGACCACGTCCACCGCCTCCATTGCCACGCCCGCCTCCATTGCGGCCACCGTTGCCACCGCGGCCACCACCGCGGTTGGATCCACTGCGTCCGCCGCGAGACACAGCGTTGGCAGAGGAGTGGGAGGACTGCCCTCCGCCTTCAAACATGGCCAGCCTGCTTTCAAAGCTGATTAGCTGTGAGTAGAGCTCGCTCACCTTGATTTTCTGTGTACGAGCGCAGATGGTGGAGACGAAGGACACATAGTCGTAGTCGAGTCCTGCCAGGATGTAGGACACCATGTCGTCGTCGGTGAGCGGCTTGCCCACCGATGCCATCTCATCACTGAGCGCCTTCATGCGCCCGATGTACTCGGACATCGTCGAGTTGCCCTTCTTGGTGGTGGAGAGGGCGATTCTGGTGTTGGCGACGTGCGCCTGAGTTTGGGAGATGAAGATCTCCCTGATGGCGACCCACGCTTCGGCCGCCGTGTCACAGTGCGCCACCTGAACCATGACTGGATCTGAGATGGAGTTGAAGATGAAGCTCAGCACCTGGGAGTCTCGAGCTTTGTCGATGTCGTATGCAGGGTTGGGGACGTCTGTGGACTTGCCGTCCTTGTCGCGGAGCTTCTGCTCCTGCTGCTCCTGATCTGCATCGAGGTAGGAGACGAGCTGCGCCCCTCGGATGGCTGCCATGGCTTGCGCGCGCCATACCAGGAAGTTGGAGCGATGGAGTCGATCGGCTATGGGGATGAGGGCAGGCGCGGCGACAGCGGAGCTTGAGGAGGCCATGGCTGCGAGAGATGTGCTTTTAGAGGAGATAGGCTCTGAATACCATGAAAGATGGCTTGAAGCGTATGCCTAGCAGGGACGCGTTGCGTGTTATATATAGCCAAAGGCTAGGGTTTACAGAATCCGGTAGTTGGTTTAGACTTGATCCTCAAGTTAGCTAACTACAAGATAAGGATCAAGGCTTTAAACCTAACTACCGGGATACAATTGTAACGCACGCAACACCGACCATATATACGGTTTTATATACACAACCGTATATACATACAATGTATTCTAACAGATGGAGGTGGCTGCGCAAGCTCTTCGCCATTGATGTCCGGCTTAGGGAGCTATTCCTCCCTCCCATCAAGGCATGGCCACGGGCGGTTCGGTCTCCTCGACCACGTGACGACAATGGCCGCTGTCCGTATGTCGAGTCACTCGTCGATCTCCGCATCCCCAACGAGGACGGCGGCCGACGCGCTCTTAGGGACGACGAGATGGTGCGACTGATCTCGGAGTTCCTAGGCGCCGGCACGGGGACGGTGGTGGCAAGCCTCAAATGGGCCCTCGCCTACCTTGTCGACAAGCCGGAGATGCAGGAGAAGCTCCGTGGCGAGGTCGACTACGGCGAGGTCTCTCGTGCAGGTGCAGGCATGCCTTACCTGCATGCCGTCGTGCTGGAGACGCTACGCATGCATTCGCCGTTGCCGGTCATCCCGCGCCATGTCCATGCCGATGCCGTCGGGATGCTGGTCGGAGGAATGGTCGTGTCGCCGCCGGCCGGCGACTTTTACGTGAATTTCTCTGCGGGGGACATTGGCAGGGACAACAAGATATGGAAGGATCCCGACGAGTTCCTGCCAGAGCGGTTCCTTACCGGCGGCGACGAGGAGGGCGTCGGCCCATTGCCGGGGCCCAAGCAGATCAGGATGATGCCATTCGGCGCCGGGCATAGGTTCTGCCCTGGCGTGGGCATGGCCATGGTGAACATGAAGAGCTTCTTGGCCGCTCTCGTGCGCGAGTTCGAGTGGGGGGTGCCGACGGGCACCGGCACTATTGACCTCACGGAGATGGATTCCTTCTTCAAGGTGATGAAGAAGCCGCTTTCGGCGCGTGTCACGCGACGCACCAAATCGGTCTAAAGATCTCAACATCTTGACAATCTGCACGATATGTGTATAATAAAAAAGTTGTGTTTCTACCGTTGTTGCAGCCGAGCCTAGAGCCACGGAAAGCTTCTACTTCTGCCATTTTCTGCCGGTTTCAACTGTCTTCGGCAGGGGAACCCCAGATCTATACACATTGCGATCTAGTTTTGGTGTGGTTAGGTCTCAATTGACTAAGACTTAACCAAGTCTAAGCCAAATGATATATAACATATAAGAAAGAAAAAAGAAAATATCAGAAAGAAAATTTTGCACGGATCACCATGTAAGATACCACGAATATAGCATGACTGAGATTTAGCAATCTCGATCTAGTTTTGGTCCCACAAATTGTCGGTTCACCAGTGTAAACTAACAAAGAATGCTACACTTACGGGTTGTTTGTGTGCGGAAGTAGTTACAGGCTGAATTGTAAAGCTACGGTTGGTTA